TGTGGGGGTGGTGGTAGAGCCTGGTGGCATAGGAGGGCAGAGTGTCGGCGGAGGTAGAGCCACGCAGCGTGGGAGGGCAGAGGGCAGTGTGCCGGCAGAGGTAGAGCCACGCGGCGTGGGAGGGCAGAGGTCAGTGTGTCAGCGGAGGTAGAGCCACGCGGCGTGGGAGGGCAGAGGGCAGTGTGCCGGCAGAGGTAGAGCCACGCGGCGTGGGAGGGCAGAGGGCAGTGTGCCGGCAGAGGTAGAGCCACGCGGCGTGGGAGGGCAGAGGGCAGTGTGCCGGCAGAGGTAGAGCCACGCGGCGTGGGAGGGCAGAGGGCAGTGTGCCGGCAGAGGTAGAGCCACGCGGCGTGGGAGGGCAGAGGGCAGTGTGGCGTGGGAGGGCAGAGGGCAGTGTGCCGGCAGAGGTAGAGCCACGCGGCGTGGGAGGGCAGAGGGCAGTGTGCTGGCAGCAGTAGAGCCCAGCAGCATGGGAGGGCAGAGGGCAGTGTGCCGGTGGCAGTAGAGCCCAGCAGCACAGGAGGACAGAGGGCCATGTGTTGGTGGTACAGCCAGGCAGTGTGGGAGGGTAGGGGGGCAGTGTGCCGGCGGCGGTAGAGCCAGGCAGCATAGGAGGGCAGTGCGTCTGTAGATGTAGAGCCAGGCAGCGTGGGAAGACAGAGGGCAGTGTGCCGGCGGCGGTAGAGCCAGGCATTGTCCATGGGCAGTGTGCTGGTGGCAGTGCAGCGAGTTGGATTGGTCGGAAGGGTAGATAGCAGTGTGCTGGCGGCGGTAGAGCCCGTCAGTGTGGGAGGGCAGTGTGCAGTGGGTGTGCCATGGGTTTGAGTCGTCTTCCCTTCTGTCTCCTAGATCCCGATGTCGGAGCAGAACAGCACCAGCGATGGGGACCCCGATCCCCAGCACAGCATGTCTATGCTCTTCCTGCTTGTCCTGGTTTTCTTCATCATGGGACTGGTGGGGTTCCTGATCTGCCATGTGCTGAAGAAGAAGGGTTATCGCTGCCGCACCTTCCGCGATGAGCTGGACCTGGAGCAAGAGGACGCGCTGACGGAGCTTCAGGCCAGTGAGTTTGGGCAGCAGGGTCAGGGGCCTCAGCTGGACCCATTGTGCATTGTCTTGGCATTGCCAGTCAGTGGCAAGGTGGAATGGGGGTCGATGTAAGCCTGTGGTGGGCTGAGCTGCACAGCGAGTGTGCGTAGGGCACAGCGGGTAACTGGTCATACAGCGCTGTGCGCGCCTGGGCATGCAGCCTGGGCACTGTACATGGTGCACGCCGGAGACTGGGGGCAGAACCGCAGCCAATAGCAGGGCGGAGAATAAAGCATCATTTCAGCTTGTCCCACATAGGGTAAGTTTAGCCCTCGTGTCAATGAGCACAAGTTCTTGTGACGCCACGCACAGATGTTCATGTACATACATTTCTACATATAAGTATGCATCATCTGAATATGCTCCCTGCAAAACAGGGCAAGTTACCTGTGATCCCCTGGATGCGGGAATTCTATCTGGGCATGTATCAGTCTTGTACGTGAAGTCAGAAATACAAAGTGTAAAACCTGCTTATTAATCGAGAATGTCTAGTGAAAGCCATGAGTGGTTCTTAAGGAACCATAGAGCCATAGAGCTGGAAGAGACCTCAGAAGATCAAGTCCAGGCCCCTGCTCTAGGCCAATCCCAACTAAATCAACTCGGCCAGAGCCTTGTCAAGCTGAAACTTAAACACCTCTAGGGATGGAGACTCCACCACTTCCCTAGGGAACCCAGCCCAGGGCTTCCCCACCCGCCTAGGGAAATAGTTTTTCCTAATATCCAACCTGGACCTCTCCCACCACAATTTGAGCCCATTGCTCCTTGTTCTGCATCTGTCACCACTGAGAACAGCCTCTCGCCAGCCTCTTTGGAACCTCCCTTCAGGAAGTTGAAGGCTGCTCTCAAATCCCCCCTTTTCTCTTCTGCAGACTAAATAGACCCAAATCCCTCAGCCTCTCCTATATGTAATATGCTCCAGCCCCCTAATCATTTTGCTTGCCCTCCACTGGACCCTCTCCAATGCGTCCACATCCTTTTTGTAGTGGGGGGCCCAGAACTGGACACAATAATCCAGGTGTGGCCTCACCAGAGCTGAGTAAAGAGGAATAATGACATCTCTGGATCTGCTGGCAATGCTCCTCTTAATGCAACCTAATATGCCATTCGCCTTCCTGACTATAAGGGCACACTGTTGACTCATGTCGAGCTTCTCATCCACTGTAATCCCCAGGTCCTTTTCTGCAGAACTGATTCTTAGCCAGTAGGTCCCCAGCTTGTAACTATGCTTGGGATTCTTCCGTCCCAAGTGCAGGACTCTGCACTTGTCCTTGTTGAACCTCATCAGATTTCTTGTGGCCCAATCCTCCAATTTGTCTAAGTCACTCTGGACTCTATCCCTGCCCTCCAGCGTGTCTACCTCTCCCCCCAGCTTAGTGTCATCTGCAAACCTGCTGAGGGTGCAATCCATCTCCTCATCCAGGTCATTAATAAAGATGTTGAACAAAACTGTTTCTAGACCCGAACCTTGGGGCACTGCTGGAATCTGACCACCATCCTGACATCAAGCCGTTGATCACTACCTGCTGGGCCCAACCTTCCAGCCAGCTTTCTATCCATCTTACTGTCCATTTATCCAATCCACATTCCTTAACTTGCTGGCAAGAATATTGTGGGAGACCGTATCAAAAGCCTTGCTAAAGTCAAGGTATATCACATCCACTGACTTCCCCATAACCACAGAGCCAGTTACCTCATCTTAGAAGCTAATCAGATTGGTCAGGCACGACTTGCCCTTTGTGAATCCATGCTGACTGATCACCTTCCTCTCTTCCAAGTGCTTCAAAATGGATTCCTTGAGGATCCCTTCCATGATTTTTCCAGGGACTGAGGTAAAACTAACCGGCCTATAGTTCCCTGGATCGTCCTTCTTCACTTTTTTAAAGATGGGCACTGCATTTGCCTTTTTCCAATCACCTGGGATCTCTCCCGATCTCCACGACTTTTCAAAGATAATGGCCCAAGGCTCTGCAATGACATTTGCCAACTCCCTCAGTACCCTCGGATGCATTAAGTCCGGACCCATGGATTTATGTACGTTTAACTTTTCTCAATAGTTCCTAACCTGTTCTTTACCCACCAAGGGCTGCCCATCTTCATTCCATATTGCGTCACTTAGCACATTAGTCCAGGAGCCCACCTTGTCCGTGAATAGAGAGGCAAAGAAAGCATTGAGTACTTCAGCTTTCCCCACATCATCTGTCACTGGGGGTATGTCTACACTGCCACCCTAGTTCGAAGTAGGGTGGCTAATGTAGGCATTCGAAGTTGCAAATGAAGCCCAGGATTTAAATATCCCGGGCTTCATTTGCATCTTGCCGGGCGCCGCCATTTTTAAATCCCCGTTAGTGCGGACTCCGTGCCCGCGGCTACACGTGGCACGGAGTAGGTAGTTTGAATTAGGCTCTCTAATTCGAACTACCGGTACACCTCGTTCCACGAGGAGTAACGGTAGTTCGAATTTGAGAGCCTAATTCAAACTACCTACTCCGTGCCGCGTGTAGCCGCGGGCACGGAGTCCGCACTAACGGGGATTTAAAAATGGCGGCGCCCGGCAAGATGCAAATGAAGCCAGGGATATTTAAATCCTGGGCTTCATTCGCAACTTCGAATGCCTACATTAGCCACCCTACTTCGAACTAGGGTGGCAGTGTAGACATACCGTAGGTTACCTCCCTCATCCAGTAGGGGCCACACACCCTCTCTGATCACGTTCTTCTTGTTAACATGCCTGTAGAAACCTTTCTTGTATCCTTCACATCCCTTGTGAATTGCAATTCCAATTGCGCTTTCGCCTTCCTGATAACCCCCTGCATTCTTGAGCTGTACATTTATACCCCTCCCTAGTCATCTGTCCAAGTTTCCACTTTTTGCAAGCTCCCTTTTTGTGCTTAAATTCACCAAGGATTTCCTCGGTGAGCCAATCCGGTCTCCTACCATATTTGCTTCTCTTTCTATGCATTGGAATGCTTTCTTTCTGTGCCTTCAATAAGGCTTCCTTAAAATACTGCCTGCTGTCCTGGACTCCTTTCCCCTTCATGTTAGCATCCCTGTGGATTCTGCCCATCAGAGGTCTGAGGGAGTGAAAGTCTGCTTTTCTGAAGTCCAAGGTGTGTATTTTACTACTCTCTTTTCTTCCTTTGGTCAGAGTCCTGAAATCTGCCATCTCATGATCACTGCTTCCCAGGTTGTCACTCACCTCTACTTCTCCTATGAGTTCCTCCCTATCTGTGAGCAACAGGTCAAGCTGCATATAGCCCCTGGTTGGATCCTGCAGTACTTGTACTAAGAAGTTATCCCCAACATTCTCCAAAATTGTCTGTGTACTGCCATATTGGTCTCCCCACAGATGTCAGGGTGAGGCCCATGAGAACCAGGGCCTGTAATCTGGAAACTTCTCTCAGTTGTCTGAAGAAAGCCTCATCTACCTCATCCACCTGATTCGGCGGCCTGTAGCAGATGCCAACCACAACATCACTGCTGTTGCTTGCACCTCTAAACTTGACCCATAAACTCTCAACAGGCTTTTCTCCCTCTACATACTGGAGTTCAGAGCAATCATTGTGTTCTCTTACATACAATGCAACTCCTCCTCCTTTTCTCCCCTGCCTGTTCTTCCTGAACAGTCTATACCCTTCCAAGACAGCGCTCCAGTCATGCGAGTCATCCCACCAAGTCTCTGTTATCCCAATTAAATCGTAGGTCTTGGACTGGGCCAGGGCCTCCAATTCTTCCTGTTTGTTACCCAGGCTTCTCGCATTGGTGTACAAACACTTCAGATAACCAGTCAAATGCCCTACCTTCTCCATTCGAATCAGGGGTCCACCTTTGTTGCTCTTTCCTCTCTGCATTTCTTCCCGGTATCCGACTTCCCCACTCCCCTCAGGGCTTTGGTCGCCGTCCTCCAACGAACCTAGTTTAAAGCCTCCTCACTAGGTTTGCAAGCTGCCCGCGAAGATGCTCTTTTCTCTCTTGGTTAGGTGGATCCCATCTCTTCCCAACAATCCTTGTGCGCGGAACAGAGTCCCATGGTCGAAGAAACCAAAGCCCTCTCTGCGACACCACTTGCGCAACCACGCATTTACGTCCTCAATTCGACGATCCCTACTCAGTCCTTTCCCTTCAGCAGGGAGGATGGACAAGAACACCACTTGCGCTCCGAATTCTTTGATCCTTCTTCCCAGTGCTACACAATCCACAGTAACCCACTCAAGGTCATTCTTGGTCGTACCTTTAGTTCCCACATGGAGAAGCAGGAAGGGGTAGCGATCCGAAGGTTTGATCAGCTTGGTAAGCCTCTCAGTTACCTCCTGGTAAACAGCACACCTCTCGAGATTCCAGGTCCGGACAGCAGATGGATGGCTCAGTCCCTCTTAGGAGGGAGTCCCCGACCACCACCACCCACCTTCTTCTTTTGGGGGTGGTGGTCATGCTGCCAGTTCTCTTCCTGGTCCCGTACTGCCCACTCTGGCTCTTCCACCTGCCTTGCTTGCAGGATTAAACGCTGCCTTCTAACGAAGAAGTCTTCATCCTCTCTGATCGAGTGTAGGGGCGACACTTGGGCCTCCAGTCCTCTAATTTTTTCCTCCAAAATGGCGACCAGCTTGCACTTCGTGCAGATGAAATCCCTTCTTTCTTCTGGGAGGAAGACAAACATGGCACAAGCTGTGCAGGTAACAACAGCAGACCTATCACCAGTCATACCTGCTGTCCTAAAAAAGGGTTTAAAGGAAAGACAAAAGAACTTCACCCCCTTCCCAACTCCCACCCTAAACTCCCTGTTTGCAATCACCTGTTCGCAACCTCCCTGGTCGCTGACTCACTCCTTTATAAAGCCCTGGACTGCCTAATAGTCCCTCTCCCTACTAAGGCTCAGCCAATCGGCAGAGGCTTCTAGATTTCAAACTTTAATTGGAAGCCAACAGTTTCCAGCTGCCAGTCACATTAATGGCCCAATGCTCCAGGCAACAATCTGTACGTGGTGGTTTTTTTCCCTATAAGCCTAAACTGTGATTGGTTTTACAAAGACATGTGACCGTGCCATCTGGGGCTGGAATCCATCTTGAATTTGGTATTTTTCCATTGGGCGAATGGAAGAAAGATGTCCTGCGCTGGGGGGATTCTATTGAAGGCATGGGAAGCAATCGATGATTATCTTTAATCTGGCTTTTGAGACTGCCTCCCCTCTCTAAGGGGACGTACAAGAAGCTGTTAGAGCCAGGCCAGAGAACAGATCAGCTCTGACTTGAAGGATTTTACCTGAAATAAGGAGAAATACCATCTGTCCCAACCGCTCTCTGTGGATTAGGCTAAGCTGGCGTGTTTTGTTGATAACACAACAACAATAAACCCCAATTGTAGCACCAAATCACAAACCCCGGACAAATAAGGAAGGTAAATGTTACAGTCGTGGATGGTTGACGATCAGATGGTGCCGAGGACCTCAAACCTTCAAGCTAATGTAAAGCTTGTAGGGAGAAGCTCTAGGGCCATGGTCCCCAACACGGTGCCTGCGGGGGCATTTGTGTGCACCCGCCAAGTGCTCGGGGCTGGCCTGGCCCCGGGCACATGGCGCATGCACGGAGCCGGTGCTGGAGCCGGCCCCGGGCACATGGC